CAAAATTGCAGCAGTGCTTGGGGAATTTGAGGTCCTTTCTTGAGGGGTCCTTTAAATCAGGCTTGGTATCGTTGAGTGCATTCTACAGGTGACCACTAAAGGATGCATCAATATGTGAGAAAACGCCGGCAGCTTAGGTCGAGCAGCAGCTGAAAGATGCCGGCCAAGGGCCTGTGTCGAACCAGGAGACCCTGGCTAGTTTGATTGTTTGAGCTGTTTTGAAGACAGGTATACCAGAGATCCAATTAGGTGCTCAAAAAGGGAACCCGGTTTCAAGAAACTCCCTCATGTGAGGATTCCTGGTTCGGGCGGCGTCGTGTGCGTTCTTTTGCGCATTTTTGCACTGTGTCGTTTTGGGAGTAAGTACGTAGGCAAATCATGAGCATGAGCATACCTAGAATACACTTCAAGCTACAGCACTCGCTTTTGATGCTGCTGACGCTCTGTGCGAGATTGAGCCGTACCGTTGAGCCCGCAGTTGCAAAGCTGGTGAAATGCATGAACATGAGGTAAAATAGGGACGCATGTCAAAATGGAATATTTGTCAGCTGGCTTTCCGAAGACGAACCTCCAGCTCGCGACTTCATCAGAGTTCAGATTCCTTTCCCTGCAACCAGGGTTTGGGATAATGATATGGTGTTGGACCCAGCACAGCAAAGGCAGCAAATTTCAAGCTTGATTGCGTTCCCGAAAGCCATTTGGTTCGGGAGCAGTTCCTGACACTTCCTGCCCCTCTGGTGCATTCTGCGCATTCTTCCGTCCAAGCCTCAGTGACCAGTGCGGCAAACGGAACCGGGCAGCGAATTTCCAATCGAAAACTTGCAGATGAAGACAGAAGACTCTTCACAAGCAGTGATAGTATGATCAGAGCTGGGGTTGGCTAGTTCATTCCCCAGCATTGGACATCACCAGGTTGAGAGCATCAACCAGTAACCTGAGGAAGATGGGTCGTATGTACGGCAAGGGCAAGGTGCAAGTCTGCAGCTGACGTGAAATCTCCAAGCAGTCATGTCAGTGGCATCCCGAGCTCAGAGCTCAGCAAGAACCATTGCCTTTCTTAATCACCGTGCTATCGGTCACATGGCAATGCTTGATACATTTGTCATATTTGTCATCATTGTGAGCCACCCGTGCAGGGCATCGCCAGCTCGGCGGTCCCCTACAAGAGGCCTTGAGGGGGCTAGGGGATATGAGACGACCTCATGGAATTTTGTACTTGTTGTTTGAGTAACGGCACAGAACCTTTCGGAACTTTACCGGTTTTTCCAACTGTTCTGAATACAGTTGGGAATTTATTTGGTAGGTTTTAAAATGTACTTTGCTGCAGCTAACAGCTGGCTAAGGTGTTAAAGGTGTTGCATCCTATTAGCAAGAGTGGGGCCAACTTTGTTACGCTGAAATCGACACTGCTGCAAAATCTGTCAAGCAGAATTTGCAAGGCGAAAGGCTTACGTTGGGATCTGTATGGATTGAGGTAGCACAGGATCAACTCACGGGCACCAACAGCATGACGACTCCGGATGTGTACAGAGATCCCGTTGGCGCAGATCCCAGAAAGCCTTTGCCGCAGGACCCCTCCCACATGGCTGAAGATGAAGCCGGAGGCCAACCCCAAACTCCAAACTATGATTGTGCTGAAGTTAGCTTTGTGCCCTGCAGGATGTTTGCGACCACATCTGCAAGCTTGCAAAGAAGGGCCTCACGCCGTCGCAGATTGGTGTTCGGCCCCTACAGTCTAGATGAGCATAATACACGGCTGGGCGACCACAAGCCTCATGCGACTTGGTATGTGTGGAGTGCTTGTGGATTTCATGAGGTTTACGGTTCACGCTCTAGTCGTCACAACCGTTGAAAGCAGTCCAAGCGCAGAAGAATATGCGCATGACATTCGCAGCAGTGTGCAATTGTCAGGATTCTGGATTCCCTGCGTTTTAGGCACTGCCTTGCAGCAAGCTATCTCCACAGGTCACTCTTCGAGATAGCTTCGGCGTGCCGCAGGCCATGTCCGAGAAGAGTAGTTACCGTCATCAGCATGGTTGAACAATCATGGGGTCCCTGATAGTGTACTCAGCAGGAAAATTGTAGGTGACGAGTCTTTCCCTTGGAACTCACGTAATGTCAGGTGAAGAACGTCACTGGAAACCACATCCTCCGCATTCTGAAGACGAATGGCCTGGCAGCCAACCTCCCGGAGGCCAAGATCAACGGGAATTTTCCCAACAGGGGTTTTAAAGCGGATTTTCAGGAAGACATCGGCATTTTTTATCAAAGTTCGCTGGTTCTTTGTGGCTCAGCTGGCACGCTCACGTAACCTTTCCTGGTCTCTTGGCAATGATGTTGTTGATTGCTTCATTCTGGCGGCTGCAGGATCTCTACTACCTGATCAAGAAGGCCAGGGAACATTCCAAACTCCAACTCCATGTTTCACTTTGCTGCCTCGGAAGGCAGTCTCCATCCGAAAGCACCTGGACAAGAACCGCAAGGACAAGGATGCCAAGTTCCGCCTTATCTTGGTCGAGAGCAGGATCCACCGACTTGCCAGGTGCCAGCTTTTGGATGAGACCATGGGGATCCCTTCTTCCAGTCCCTAAAAGCCACGAGCAAGTTTAGACAAAACTGAGTGCCTAGATGCGACGACTGCAGTGATATGATTTATTCGTCTCGGTTTTCAGCAGACGGCATGTGTTTACAGAAGACGTTTTCGACTAGGCAGATCCTGTAGATTTAGTTTTGAACAACCGTGGTAGCCTCTTAGATTCTCAATGTTTGAACCCTATAAACTCCACACGTCGCCTCAAAAATGCTCCCGCGCAGTTCCAGCTGGCAGGTATTACAAGCGTCCGGACCTCACTGCTCAACCGAGACTGAGTCTGCAGAGGTATCAGCCAAACTTCTAGTAATCATGAGTCAATGAGCAATGTTAGCAAGAGCATCTTGTCGCAGAGCAGAAGCTGTCAAAGGACGACTTGGAATATCAATCGCAGCAAACACATACACAACCACTCATTCCATTTTTCAGAGAAGTTGGCGGAGAAACGAGGCGTGAAGTCTTTGCCTGCCACCTGGAAGCCCGGACCTCAGAACTGTTTGTGCTGAACCCAGCTCCAGACAACAAGCACTCCCAAGTATTAAGATCTTAGATCGGTGGCAGAGCTGTTTCAATGGCCTGATCATAATATATTAGAAGCCTCACTTAGAACCAGCATGCTCTTCGTTGCTATCAGCTTGCCAGCGGTCGAAGGTACGTCTCTGCCACCGCATCGGCGCTGGTGGCCTAAAGAGCCCCTGAGGAGCGAGGAAAAGCAGGAAAAAGGAAATTCGAACTTTGCTTTTGCTGCTGCCAAAGGCTGCCGCTTGGGGGGAAGGGAAGGGGGGTCTCCTCTTAAGGGGGGAGTGCTTCCAGAGGGGTGCTCAAGGGGGGGCGTCTTTTGGGGGGGGGGGGGGGTCCCAAATCTCTCCATGGCAGGTCTTTTACGGCAAGTTCCGGGCGGCAGCTCCCAATTACAGGCCCAGGGTCGCCGCCATGGTGTTCTGCTGGGAACTGGGCTCCCCCAGGCCTTTGCTGTCTCTCCTGAGCAAGCGTGCGGAGTTGAATGAAACCTACGCTGCAGGGATCTTAGAGCCGCCACCTGATGCTGCAAAGATTGCTGGGCATGTTTCAAAGCTCTGGCCCCCTTTGGGACCTAGAAGGAAGGCCATGCTACAGTACTGGGACCTGACGTTTGAGAGCTTTCGTCATGGTCCTCTCAACTTAGATTTGAGTAAAATCTGCTGGCGCAGATGAGGCGACGCTGGAGGAGATTGAAGGCTTCTTCGTGCACCTCCGGCTGAAGCTGTTGACCCTGCCGGCAGTCGCCCTGGAAGACAGCAGCGACAGAGGTAAGTTGGGTACACTTCTTGGCGAGGTCTGCTGATCTGGCTTTAAATGAATCAAGAACTTGCTGGGGCTTGCTCCCATGTTCCTGCGTTAGGGCCCGTTTTGAAGTTGTTGGTCCTGCAAAATTGCCCAACATCCACGCAGAGGGTCGTGAATGTACGTGTCCCTTCAAGGGAAGCCTACTCTGAGCTCCTGAGTTACATGCGAGATTTATTTACAACTCAAATGTTGGAGCACCCTGTCAAAGGTGTCCAGCCAGCTACAGCAAGGATCTCGGCGCAGAAGCGTTGTGTCTTTATCCTTAAGCTGCGCTTATTTCATGAACGCTTGAGGGATAACGAAGCTTGGTGGGCTTTCAGCTCAGCCTCATGTTGGGCACTGGGTGTTGCTGTTAGGTCCATCGTTCACGGAGACATGGAGATGAGCCAGCCGGGGAGCAAGAACGCCCTGACGTGCAGGGATATTGTAGCAATGTCACAAGTCACAACGCATAAGCTCACAACTGGACCCACCACTGGGCCAAGGCTTGCGCCCGCCACACGGCAGGCAATGCTGTTGGCTTGTCAAAGCGTTTCCATATGAGAGCGTTTCTGTTACTTGAGGGCACCCTAGCACATGTTTCAGCGGCCAGGCCAGCACATACATCCTGGAGATCTCGCAGCTCGAGAAGCAGTGCTTCGAGGTTTCATTTTCCAGTTGCAGCTTGAAGTTACCGGGGCTTACCAGCAAGGCGTACTTTGAGCTGAGACATCAGCAGGAGGCCTTCGTTGCATGACCACACGACTTCAGAGCAGCAGCCTGCAGAGCCGCAGAGCTCTCGAGGCCTTGAGGACCCTGCTCTCCAAGCTAGCTGACGCTTTCTACCAGCCGCGGGCAGAGGAAGCTGGGGTATACCCAAAGCTTACCTAACCAGTGTTTTCGCTAAGGACGATGAGACCTCTGGAGCGGATCTCAGCACAGATCTGCTCTTGCTTGCTTGCACCGGGGTCTTTGGGGCTGCCTCATGTTCAGGTGCTGGCCTGCGACTCCATTGAATCCCTCAGGGAGATCGCTGACTGCCTGCCGCTCCAGCTGCACTAGATTTGCATTTTGGCTTTGCCTTGCCCTGTGCTGGACTTTAGGCAGATGGACGTCTTGGAGCCGCACCGGCTGTCGCGTCCCTTCAGAGGAGGCGCTGTCCTGACCATGGAAAGTTGCTTGCCAAGGCGCAGCGACGTGTCCGTGTTGGGAGTTGTGTACCGCCTGCACAAGGAGTTGCAGATCGAGCCTCATAACGTTACGACTTCTCAGCCTGGCAGGACGTTCAGGAGAAGCTTATCTACCGGGCAGCTGGCTCAGAAGCTCTGGCTCTGCGGTTCCTCGCTCCGTTTCGGCTCCCTTGCCATGCAGGTAGAGATGTACATACGGGAGGAGATCAAGGGGTGCCATGAGTTGCAGCAGAGAGCGGGAGCAGCCGGAGACTGGCCAAACCACTAGTAAAACCAGGACTTCGAATCCCAAAGTGCGATTTGTTTCAATCTTGTAACATTTTGATTGCAACGTCCGGCCAGTGGGGTGCGGTGTTTTTTCGCGAGCCAGAGTTCTCAATGTGCAGTAATGGGGTCTGCGAGGTACGTCCTTGGCAGTTCCGACTTGGACTACCCGCCACTTGGGAGTTCATTCAAACCAGGGTTCGTCTTTTCAGCATTCTGCAGCGAGTTGCTGCAGCGGCAG